TTCTCTCATTCAGGCCCATGGCATCGCAGCCTTAAGTTTTGCACGGGAGTGACTGAATCTAACAGATCTGCTTGCCTTTAAGTGAGAAGACATAATTGTGAGAAAACTCACCGTACATCTTGCCTTCATCGGATAAGATAATTTTGCGCCTCCCACATGGTGGGTATATCGCCAATGCCTCCTGGAAACTTTGTTCAATGTCTGGACTCCACACTCCTTCTGCATCATTGTCTAGGCTCTTCTCCATGGAGTCTCCCAGGTCTCCTGTGCTCTCTGCCGGACTGCCGGCTTCACTCCAACCGTTGGGATCCATGATTAACGTGGGAGGGAAAGGAGAGGCTCCTCCAAGCCTCACTCCACAAAGGGGAGCTCAGCAACTTCTGCAACAAAGAAAAAGGAAACAATATTAACATGTGACTACATCACTACAATAACACAATGCTACAAGCACATACATTGAAATCAGGGGAATACAAATGGCCTCAAGAATGAGTTACAGGGGTTGATTTACTAAAGGCAAATAGACTGTTCACTTTGCAAGGGAATTTGCACTTTGTAGGGGAAGTTTTCCTAACTTAGTGAATGTGGGGAAACTTCAGTTTGTAAAGAATATTCAATCATGTGCAAGAAAATGTAAAAAAAAACAGCATTTTTCTTGAACATGATTGAGTGACGGAAGTCAGCAGAGCTTTCCCTCATTCACTAAACTAAGGGCAAACGTCCCCTGCGAAGTGCAAATTCCCTTGCAAAGCGCACAACCTATTTCCCTTTAATACATTAACCCCAAAGTGTCTGAAAATCAAAATTGTTGTGCAACCAGAAGAGCAAAATAAACCTAAAGAACCCAAAAGACACGAGAAGACAGCTGGCCATATCAGGAAATAATCACATGTGGTGGGCGGCAGTAATCAGGAAGATCATAATACGTACAGAAGTACATTTCCCCGATGGGGATACAAGTAATATAATACTTGACATTAAGCTCTAACTCCTTTACACTATTCAAAACTTACAAAAATAAAAAATGTTTTGCCAGTGCAGTTTTTTCTTCTGTGTTGATATATTATCAGCCAAACTTTAGATGTTTATTGAGCCCCACGGGCTTAAAAGTAGTATTAAAGTCAGTTTTGTTTTTACAAATATCTACTGCTAGCAAGCAGTAGATATGTGCAAAAACATTTTTTTTTTTTAAAAAAAGGTTACCAAATAGGTAATTACGTATCTGTGTCCCTGCTGCTTGCTCCCATTTGAAGATCTGAAGATTTTCGAGCGGCCATCCATGATTATGGAGCGGGCGCATGCGCAGTAGAGATCTTCGGCCGGGAGAGGAGGAGAGACACAGTGTAAGTGAATGCACGCAGCCGGGAGTGTGCACTGTGACGGACCGCCTGGTACCCCAACTGGGTACCTCCGTCAAAAATCAGCTTCCTCTTCGCTGGAACTCGAATCCCAGTGTCATCAGCCCAAACCTGCCTAATTATTGGACAGAACCAATATATTAGGACAGAACGCTAAACTCCTCAATCATCAGACAACACCAATGTTGAAGAGTAAATCAAGAACTGCTTTATTGAGGAAGAGCACACAGAGGTTATACTTGACACCATCAGATAAGCATTCATTGTTACATGAACAGTCCCCTCCCCCAGACAGCTAGCTGCCGCATTGGATTGTCTTAAATTAGAGAGGAGCTTAATCCCATCACTGTAAACAATGGTCACTCCAGACAGCCTGCTGCCTTTAGAAGAATGGTTCACATCAAGTCACATAGTGACCAGCTCTCCCCAGATAAATATTAACTGGAAACACACACAGCACACAAAGTTCTCTGGGGTAATAAATCTCTGCTGCCCTAGGTCCGTGGTCAGTAGGAAGGAGGCTAGCCCTCAGGCTCCTCCAGCAGCCCCAGTGACCGTTCAGTCCGTCACATGCACATCGGACAGATACCGTGAGACACAGAAAACATAGCAGTCAGCGCTGGATCAGAGAGCGGCACCAGCGCTGGAGGGACTCCTAAAACCTACTGGGAAGAAGATGATGATCGGATCAAGAGGCATCATTTAAGATAAGTCCTTCAAGCAGCGGGGTGGGGGGGGATTGTGACTTTAATGTCACTTTAGCGAGAGAAATCAGTTGATTCCCCCATTCATGCTAAACAGTGGCCTCTCAATATCCTGCTTAAACACCAAGTGGTGTATTGCGGGAGGAGCTATGCCTACTCCTCTCATTACCCTGGAATGTCCCCTGCCAGCTATTATAGTTAACAGGTGGCGGGACCCGAGGATGCTGAACACCTGAACAGTGACTGCATCTGATTCAACAATTTTCCACCCACACCGTCGACAAAAGTAAATTGGAGAAATCGTCTTTTGTTGAACCAGTTGGTGTAGAAAGGGCCTAGGAGTTCAAATGTCAGCTGATTCAGCAGGAATTGTCAGAAATTCAAGCTGTGTATGGCCAGCTTAAGAGACCCTTTTACTGAGGATAAAGCATTGGAAAAGCTAGTAGCTGCAATGTTTATCTGTCTACAAGTTCACTTACAACAAGCCAGCTTGGTCACACACTACCATTGTGATGTTAAATTTTAACAAGGATTTAATGAGAAGCTCAGGCTGTTTGACAACTTTGGTTAAGACCTTATTCAGTTTAACTAGTTTGAAACCAACCCAGAATTGTTTATTGACAATAGTTCTTTTTGTGTTCAAGTCCATTAGTAGAGCAGATCAATGTTATGGAAACTACTGAAACTTGCGGACTGAATAAAATTTATCAAATCACAAATGTGTCTTT